GATGATTCCGATATAATCCTTTTGTGAAGCATTGAAATAAAAACTGAGAAAAATGAAAGTGAGTTCAACCCATTTGCTCCAAAATCCTTGAATAGTCAAAAGAAAATAAAAAAAATAATGTTAATCTATAAAAACAACTGGGAACAAATGATCTAGACTTATCTTTTTTGTATAACAGCCAAATTTTCTCTTGCTACTCTTTTTCAAATCCTTTAGAAGGAACAAAAACAAAATACACACACAAAAAAAGAAGAAATGGCAACCAAAAAGAATAAGTGCGTATAAGAAAAGTGATAAATTCCTGATCTCCATGGGATAAAAGGAAGGTGAAAAGTATTAGTCTTGATCGGCAGCAAAGTTTGCCAAAACACCTCCATCATCAACAAGTGGTTTTTCCTTCTCCAGTTTTCTCCTCACTTGTCTTGCTTTGTCTACAATAAAGCCTTGCTTGTACTGACCTTATTCTATTGATTGTTGGCCATTTAAAAAGGCTAGCCATCAGTGGCTGGCAAGAGTCCAAAGACCCATTTTACTCAAACATTTTTATCAAATGATGAATGAAAAAAATTACAATGAATTATGGCCTAGACCAACCAAGTGATCCAGTAAAACATACATACACATAAATGTATCAATTTAATAAATGGCATTTACTCTTCATGAATATATGTGTATCAATAAAAGTAAATACTTTGAAACTAACTGGTCATTCTGTAAACTTATTTAGAAATTCTTAATGAAAAAATTTTATTTTTTTTTTTTTTTGCATGTTTAGAATTTTGAACTGTGAAATTCTTTTATAGAATTAAAGCCAACTGTAAAGATGGTATTAGCTTAGATATGAAGAAAATCAAGAAATATCACATTTTAACAGAACAGGGCAATTTTTCTTCCGATTAAAAATAATAACTATATTAACGCTTGCATTTTTCTTCATTTGAGTAGGATTTTTTTCTACTGTATAAGTAGTGATGTTAGTTAAAAATTATTTTTGTATGTAAATATACAACAAAAGTAAAACTTTCCTTCAAGAACTGGTAAAAATGAAACAGATGGGTTTGCCTATTGCTGGCTCTATTGAACATGAGTAGAGGTTTATCCATTATTTCTGGTTTAAGATTGGGTTTCCTTGTTCTTTCTGAAGTTTTCCCATTCTGTTTCATTCCCAGTAACCACATGCATCTTAGTGGCATTATCACCTACCTTAGAATAAAATAATAAAGAAAAGAAAAAAAAAAGAACAATTTATTTTGTTAAGCATCTTAAATACTATACCCAACATTTTAGAACTCAAATGAGATTTGCTACTGTCTTGTGGCAAGAAAGGAAAATAAAATTGAAGCATATATGTCTAGTCCCTGGAAATTCCAATACCATTGTAGTACCTCACTATTGCAATAAAAGTGGCAGTCATGCATCCTCTTGATGCTTTTGTGGCACAAGCTATGATGAGGACTCAGTAATTTTTTCTTCTACACACATGTACACGTGGGTGCTCCACATTAAATCAACTGAGATGAGATGTATTTGCCTTTATAAGAAGGCAAACAAATCTTATCCTAACAAATCTATTCTTATTAATGTGATAACAAGGCTACATATCTATAAAGTGAGAAAGAAAGTGAGGTGTCTTTTTGGGTTTTTTTTATTATTGCTTTTTTTTTTTTTTAAACATTTCACCCCAAGCAAGGCCATAAAGACAAAAAGTTGCTGAGAGTGAAAGAGTCTGAGAAAAAATATTATTATTAAAGAAGGATAATAAAAGAACAGTTTACATTTCAAATGTAAAATGATAAGACCTAGCTGCCAATCTAGTACTGCACTTAAATTCATAAGTATCGCAGTATCAAAAAAGAATGCTTATCGGAACAATTACCAAGTTATGTTCATTAGATAATTTGAGAGATATGCTTCTATAGGAAATGGAAGACTCATTTTTGCAAAGACAGGTAAAGTGATGATGAAAAGCAGTTAAGTGATATGACTAATACAAGTTGAGAGTAGATGGTAAGGATTACTTTGGACACTGTGTCATCAACATTGATACAAGTTGAGAGTAGATGGTAAGGATTACTTTGGACACTGTGTCATCAACATTGATACAAGTTGAGAGTAGATGGTAAGGATTACTTTGGACACTGTGTCATCAACATTGATACAAGTTGAGAGTAGATGGTAAGGATTACTTTGGACACTGTGTCATCAACATTGAGTTTGAAGAAGAAATAAAGAACTTAAAATTCAGAAAAGAAAAAAAACTCATATCAATGAAAGATTTAACAACAGTCAATATGCTATGGAAACAGTATTTGATAGAGTCTGTTTGCACATCTGAAATTATAAGTATTTTATAAATTCGTAATAAATGCATAAAACTTATTTGAACTGAAACAAATAAGGAAAAAATGGATGAAGTTCCCAAAACATTCAATGAACGTACAATGTTTTTTTTCTTAATATTCCCTGCTGCCCCATTCCATTTCCAAATGTGAAAGGGCATAATAGCCCATTCCATAAATCTCTCACAGAAGGATGATTATATATCCAGTATTTACTATAAAAAAAAAGAAAAAAAAAAAAAGAAAAACAATAAGCCTAATTTTATATATATATATATATATATATATATATATTATATACACACACACACACACACACACACACAAATACATACATCACAGTTTAAAAGCTTGAGGTGACCCCTGGTAATTTTTTAAGTTAGTTTAAAAGTAGTTGTTTTGTAATTTAAATAGGAGCAAATTATTATACACAGTTAAAATAAAGTGAGACATGATTTTTTTTTTTTTATCAAAAACTTTATTATGAAAAAAAGAAAAAAACATTTTATGATTAAATTTTGCTCTTGTCAAAATATCCTCCTTTAGCCTTGATTATTGCAGCACAAATTTTTGGTATCCAGTGCAAAGTTTCTCAAAGTATAAGTTTGGTAATTGATTATATATATATATATATATATATATATATATATATATCCAGGTAAAATAAAACAGTAGCTTAACATCACCTGAAGAAACACATTTGTGGTGTTGAAACATAATTGTGTAGCGATTTTTTAATATCCTAATATATATATATATATATATATATATATATATATATATATATATATATATATATGTGTGTGTGTATATATATGTATATATATACACACACACACACACACAAACAGACAGACAGACAGACAGACAGACAGAAACTAATATAATTACAGGAAAAAATAACATATACTTGCATTTCATGTGACTTTTGAAGCTAATTTGACTACAGTAAATGGATATATAGTTTGGTCAACTGCGTAGCCATGGCCAGCACTACATATGCTAATTTTATATCTTATGTATGATGCTATCCTCTTAAAATTAGCTTCAAAATTGAGTTGTCAAATGTCACATGATACATGAGTACACATGGTAAATATAATCTGTAATTTCTAACCAAAGATAAAACATTTTCTCTAGAGTTTCAATAAACAACAAAGTTATAAAATCTATTCAAATTAGTTTTAAGATATTAGTTGCAAAAAATTTCAAATTTTACTTTTAAGCATTAATATTATTGTAGTGATTTTTATTGTGAGCCTTATAAACAAAATTCAGTGATTGTTTTGTTTGGATAATGTAATTTTTACATAGTTGTAGCAATTTTAAATTACTGATCAATAGGAAGACTTTATAACCCCACTTAAAAAAGGGAAAATGAGATAGTAGTACTGTGTGACATGATCTGACATGTTGTCAAAGACTATCCTTCAGGGAACAGTGCAAGGAGAAAAAGAAATGAGGCAGGCAGGGGAAAAAATGGGCAGACAATATCACTTAGTGAAGAGAGATAAACTTTGCAGAAACTCAGACCATATCCCATGGCTGCCAAAAATAAAGTCAGTCAGTGATGCATTCAGCAGTTCAGAACCCCCATGGTTATGCTAGATTACAAGACCAATGACATGACAAATTTTTCTGTAAGACAGTTCAAAATGTGTTCTTTGAACAATATTGGCACACCTCTGAAGTTTATTCTTTGTGTAAGATTTTTTATCAGAAAACAGAAAAGTATTAAATGATCAACTCTTTTATTTTATATTATATTCGCTATATCTGTTCTCAAGGGAAATGTATTATGATATCTGCTTGCTCTTATATACATTTAGCATTTTCTGTGTTACTACATTATCAATAAGAGTGAATGAGAGCAGTAGTTATTTATTCAATCCTACCCATGCTATCACAGGTTAAAATGATCTCACAAATTAATAAAATTCCTAAAACTCTGAGTGACTGACTCCAACATAGAATTGTGAAGAAATTAGGAGATAATAGAAGAACAAAGTAAACTAATCAGGATACAATAGTTGGCCAACAACGTCGGGAAATAATAAAATATTTGCATAAAATCATTTCCTATTTAATTCTAGGTGCATACGGCCAATGCAATCTGTGATTAGAAGCACAGCAATTGAATCACTCATTTTATTTACATGGGTTTATAAAAGCAAATAGCATTTAGCAATTTTCTGTAATTGCTGAGTATACAGATGATATTCATTCTTCACTAGTTTGGCATAATAAAGAAGAAAGAACATGGTAAATTTGCAATCAGAGCAAAAGGGATCTTTTTGCATTCTATGTTTTTGATATGGAAGATCGACAAAGTAAAGTAAGAGAATACAGGAAGTTAAAAGAAAATAACTCCCCCAAAAAATAAGGGAAGGGAAGGGTAGATTAAAGATATAACATAAGAAGGACAAAGGGAGTCAAGTAATACAGTTTGATTGTGATATCTGAAATAATTTGTGTATAGCTAATCCAATCTTCATTTTTGGCAATTTGCCAGTGTTGATATTGGCATATACAGTAGCACCAACATCTTAAAATAAAATAAAAATAAATAAAAGACAGGAAGGGGGGTAGTGAAGAGTCATGTCAGTTTTTTTGTTTTTTTTTCTCCCTTCAATTTTCACATAATATATGAATGATTAAAAATCAGGAAAAGAGATTGAAAGAGAAGAGAAGGTAATAGACAAAGTGAAGGACAAAGAGAGGTGGGTTATACACATTAAAAAGAAATACAAAAAAGAAGAGGATAAAGAAGATAGTAAAAGTGAGAGAAAGGAGATAAATCAAAATATGAATGCGACAAAGAGAGAAAAAAATGAAGTGAAGAAAAAGAAAGAAGAAAAAATAGAGACAGAGAAAAATGGTAAAGATCAAAATAAAAGAAAGTAATGAAGAATAGGAAAGAAGAAAAGAAAGTAAAGAAGAATAGGAAAGAAGAAAAGGATAGAGTAAGAAAGACAAATAGTCTAATAGTTCCAGGGAGAGAGAAGGATCTTAAAAATAAATTAATTAATTGAAAAAAATGAAAAATGAAAGAGATGGGAAAAAGATAAAGGGAGGGGGAGAGAGATGAAGAAAAGAGGGGAGGTGAGAAAATAATGGGTAGGAGAAGAATGATACAAAAAAGAAAAGGAAGGAGGGAGAGAAAGAATCAAGCAAATAGTAAAGAGGAAAAGGAGAAACAGGAACTTTTTGAGTATTCTACCCCACATTTCGTTCAGTATAGTTTAATGAGTTTTATAAATAAAGCTGGCAAGCTAGTAGAGTGGAGTCTTCTTAGCATTGAAGAACTATTTCCCATATGAATTATTGATTGCTACAGTTGTCTTTTTGCCCCCCCACCACCACTCTTACCACACCCAATTTCACCCCCACAACCCTCAGCCTACAATCCACCCACATCTTCCCCCTAACTACTCACCCTCATGGCATATCTACAGGAACAGCTCATTCAATTCCTGAAAATTTTCTGATCAAGTCTTTATCAATGCCAGATATTTTTAGTTCTTTTGTACACCAGTTCCAGTCCACAAGAGAACCGCAGCCCGGGACATAAAAGTAAATGAAGGAGAGAGAAAGAAGTTAAGACCAAGAGGTGCTGGGATGCTGGGAAGCTGAAGAAGGAGGTGGGGGTCGAATAGAGGCTTGTTTGCTGGGTGAGTGAGGCATGGTGGGAGCTGATGGAAATGAAGGGAGAAATAAAAGATTTCTAATACGCAATTCAGCCATGCAGGACTCCAATAAATAGAAGTAAAGTATTCAGTTATGACAAAAATGTATTGCTAACAAGCATTAGTCTTTATTCTAATATCATGATGCGGCAAAACACCATGGAACTGTGAAATATGGAATTTCTTCCTTAATCGCAGCTGCCATTTAATAATGATAAAAAGATGTGTTTTTTGTTTTCTTTTTAGATTTACATTAAATACATATGTATGAAAGGGAATCTTTTCTAATTAAATCACAATTAAAATGATGACTTGCAGAAGAAAAATGTGTAATCTGCAAAGATTTCTTTGAATCTTGAAAAAAAGTAAGCATCATGATGAATCACCTGGTTGAAAATGATTTCCAAAATTATCATAAACCTTTGTTAAGTATTCTTATTTGTTTCTTAAACATTAAAAAATAATGCAAAAAAAAAAAAAAAATGATAAATACTGAAATAAATAAATAATAAAAAAAAGATAACAGAGAAAATATGCTTGTATTTATTTTAATGGGGTAACAATATAGATTTTCTTGTGTCAATAGGATAAAAAAATTTAAGCATTTTTTTTTTTAAACAAATTTCAATACAGACCTCCCCCACCTCTCTCTCTCTTTCCCAACCCTCATTCCCAAACTCTGACTAAAAGTCCAAACATTCTTCTTCCGTTTTTTTTTTTTTTATTTTATTTTTTTTAAGGACTTCCTTAGTTGAGCCAAGAACTTTTCAGTCCTCCCACCTCATAGTATCAAGAAAAGCACATTTGACTGTAGAATGTTGGTCTATGATGAACAGATGACTGTCTTAAAGCAAGCAAAAATAAGGTGAAGAAAGATGACATTTATTTATCAAAAATATTTCTAAGTCTTAATGACCTTACACAAAGTTTATTTTGGGCCATAAATTGATAAAGAATATCTCAATTTATAAAGGTAATATAAAGGTGCTTTAATTTATATAGCAAGAAAAACTAAGAGATGAAATTGGACATTTAATGCACTTTTAGTTGATTATGATGTTCCTGAATTACTTCCATAAATAAATAAACTAGGATAGGTTGAATAAAGTAAACTGGTCATTACAAATAATGTTATAAAAATGGTAATAAATCAATAGAGGTCATCAAGGTCAATTTAGTCAATAAAATTCCATCAATTATGAAAGATTTGTTCTCTTATGAGCCTTGCTTCTTCCTGGACTAATATTTCTATCCCTACTTTTCCTTTTATGCATCCAACACCAGATTCTTTTTTTGTTTCCACAAATATATAATTACCTGTGAAGTTATCATACAATGATTTAACTGTTAGCTGAAGAGAAAATCTTCATTGCTTACTGATTGCCATCAAATTAAAATTATAGGTATTTACTGAGCTTAGCTTAGCTACAAGACCACAAGGGTGGGGCACTCAATGAAGAGTGAACTTACTACACAATAATAATAGTCTGTGAAACAAGTTCACTAATCCCACAGCAATATCCACATCAAATTAAAAGAGATTCTTAACTTTTAAAAATTTACTCTTGTTTATTCTTATGATTTTCACTTACAAGATTCAAAAATTGTCTACAAGCTCCAAGCCAGGATAAAACCACAAGCTTCTTGCTTACCAATCTTCTAATTTATTACAGTCATAAACAATAGAACAATTGTTTTTTCTTATTGCTTAGTTATGATTTTAATAACTAGTAGACCACAAAACAAAATGTTTTCACTCTTGCTATAACAAATCTCATTTTTTAAAATTTATTCCCTCTTCCTTTGATTTTTATTGCAACATTCCATAGTCAATTCATTCTTCAGCAGTTTAACTAAGTTTAAGAGAACTAAGAAAGAAAAAAAAGAGGGAAGAAAACTCATGAAAAATATTTGTAATGATGAAATTAATTTCAGAACCTTCATGATCTTGTTCAATATGCTTTATATTAATATAGGTAGAATGACAAATTTCAATAACCCTTCACATAACATGAAGCCTTACAAGTGTCAATATTCTACTCTACCATTTAATAAACAATTCAATCTCTTTATTTTTACATATAGAAAAAGATCTGAGATTCATAAAAGCACCTTAGACATGAAATTAAGATTATGTCAGTTGATTTTATGATATAGCAACTTTGTTTGATTATGTCAAACTTATTACTGGACACACAATGAGGATCAAACTCACTCATCAAATGAACCTTGTTAATCATTACCCCATACAGACATACCTTTAGATTTGTAGATTCTTAGCTACAGTTGCTAATATAATCCCTCTTATTTTAAGGAATCATCCATTTCTACATTTTACAAATACAAGATTGATAATGATGCAACAGGCTTTTCTTCTCCCCATTTTTTCTTTGTTATGCAAGTATTTGAATAACTAAGCTAAAGGAAAATAATATACATGTGTGTGTGTGTGTGTGTGTGTGTGTGTGTGTGTGTGTGTGTATATATATATATATATATATATATATACACACACTTTAAAGTAGCTCTGTATTATTAGATGACCTGATCTGTACACATAAATAAAATTCTATTCTGACTATAAGAATAATTCTTGCATTTTGTCCAATGGAAGAAGCAAATATCAAATGAAAATTAATGTTTGTCTATTAATGAGCATGAAAATGGTGAAATCTTGTGCTGATTGAAACAAACAAGTCAAATTGGTGCAACTGAATGGATTTCTTACCCCAGCGTTTTCAAGCCAAATGATGGGGTTTGAGCAAGACAGTTTGTTCAAATACTTGTTATTGATAATCATCAAATTTGGCACATTTGTCTAACTGTTCTGTATTGATTACTTGGTTGCAACTGAAATTACTTTTACAATCTGTGTTCATTTGCATTTCAAAGTAAGTTCCAAAGGGAAAATTCAACTGAAAGAGTCAGCAAGCATCAAATTAGTCCATCCAAAGTATTTGTACCAAGATAAATGGTTAGGTTAGTAAAAGTTTTGGACTGAAGACTATTTGGTTTTGGTATCAAATTTCTGATATCTTTAATTCGATGTTTGATTAATGCAACTATACTAAAATATCAAGAGACACTAATGTTTTTTTGTTTCTGTAATTTGTTATTAACACTAAGATAACAAAATAATTAAAAAAACACTTTTCTTAGAAAAAAAGAAAAAGTATTATAGCATGTAGAAAAATCATGAAAATGACTTAAATCATTAACAAACCATACAATTAAGAAATAATTTTTGATCCTTTCAAATAATTTTATCTGTTCTGAAAAATAGCTCTGTGATGCTTCTATTTGTCAGGACATAGACAATCACAGTTCTCCACAATTTTCTGTTCTTTGTTGGTTGGTTGTTTTTGTTTAGCAGCATATAAATCTCTATTTAATGATGAAATCTAAATATTTTTGGCTGCAATTTTATTTTATTAGATGTTTTTAGTGATACAAGCCTTACTAATTAATCCATAGCTGAGAGGAGAAGAGGTGAATTCATACCTAACTCAAGGGTATTTGCACCTGTGAATATGATGAACCCAACTGGAATTGGAACTCCGCTCTCCAATTACCAATTCTAAACCATTTTGTACTACACCACCTGCATGCCTAAGCTTACAGCATCTGTCCTTTGTAGCGCTTAATAAATTTTGTCTTTTTGTTATCTTTCCTAAACATTGCTCTGCCATCCATTTACTTAAACTGTCAAGGTAGGTTATGCACTGTTTTCGTCTATCCTTCTTGCCTTCAATCTGTCTTGTTTTCCAAGCCCTCTTTCCTCATTATACACCCTGGAAATTTCAGCTCTCTCTTTGTGTTGTTAAGTATAATTGTCCTTTTTGTTTCCATTTACTCTAAAACTTTGCTCTTGCTCATATGTTAGGTCCATTGGTATTCTCATCATATTTCTGTTGCTTTAAGTCTCTTCTAAATCTGTGAGGTACTCCAGTATTTAGTGCCATAAGTTGAAGGCTCAAATCCTAATACTTGATAAATGAAACCCAATAAGTGTTCATTTTAGGGACAAATAAAACCTGCTAAAGACAGAAACATAATAAAAATCTTATTATCCTTTACTTGCTTAACAACTAATGTAATGATATTTAATAATTTTATTAGAGTATTGCACTGAAGGCTACACAACGTAACTTCCAAATTAAACACTGAAAACTATAAGAAATTTATATATTTTTCTTACATATTTTTAATGTGAGAAAAGGTACAAAAGATGAACAAAAGAGAAGTGTACTTTTAATTACAAAGCTAAGCAATATCAAATTTAAAATATCAATATCAAAATTGGCCATGTGTAAATTTTTACTAACGTTTATGATTCTCATTCATTAAAATGTTCAAGCTGCTTAGCCATACAGATTGCACAGTGACAAAATATATATCTATGCACTTCTAAAATCAGTAATAGCCAAGAGGTATAAATCTCTACTTTGAGAGATACCGATCAAAAGCACTTCTTTCAGAATTAAATCCTTTGATCATATGCTTTCTCTTTAAGCATTACTTGCTTTCTCTTTTCAAACTAATATTTTACATATACAACAGATGGTGAAAATGAAATGCTACACTCTGTCTATTTAAAGACAAATGAGTCACTGCCAATGTCAAATCTAGGCTGACATCACTGTTTTTTGAGGGTCTTCTTTCAGAAAGTCAAATAACACCTTAAATTCATTTAACTCTACTTTGATAGCTATTGCCAGAAATCCAAAGACTCTAATATTCATTAACAATCCTAATGGTCAGATTTGGGTTTTGATCATTTTACGATAATCATTTGGGATTTGAGCTTTCATTCATACAAAACCTTGAATTTCATTTATTGATCAAAACTTAACAGAGAAAAAAATAAACCGAAACTTTCCAAAAACTTCAATTCAGAATAATTCTAATATACTGTGAGTATATATTCTAATCTTCAAAGGTATAAATTTTATAGCATATAACCTTATTTAATAGAAAACAAATGAGAAAGAAAATCATGCTCATTG